GACCTGGGCTGTGGGGATTTGAAGAGGCTTTAATGAGGGCGGTGCCACGAAAGGAGAAGAGGAGGTGTCTTAGATGGGGGTGGGGGACACCAGAACGGAAGGATGCCCGGCGGCATGAGAGATTCTGGAGTGTTCAGTATGCCTCTGGCCTGAATGCGAGCGTCCTTCACGGAAAGGCAGAAATTTAAGTTGAAGACGCGCACGGTATTTGGGAAATGCACGCTGACTGCATGCTGCTGGGTCTCTTTACGACATACAGGCAGCTGATAGGTGGATGTACCCACAGGTGCACGCCTGTGGGCTGGTTGAGGAGGACAGGACATCCCGTGGAGTGTTGAAGAGAAGATACAGAAGTGAGAGTCAACACCACGGCACCCCGATGTGTCAAAAATATTGTGTAGATAGGGTTTGATAAGGGGCCCTGCGGCAAGGTACTCAGCTGTGTAAAGGAGCCCAGGGGAACTTGGCTGTGACTGGAGCCAGCATTCGTTCCCCTGTGCTTCTGTGCCCTGTGCTGGGGCCATGACAGGTGCACGTGCAAAGATGAGTCATCAGCCAGGCCTCCGTTAGCCGTGCGCCATACCACGTGCAAGTGTCGGAGGGCAGCTGTGCTCTCGTGGGTCAAGAGGCTTGCGTTTAATTGAACAAAATTGCCTTTTGTAGATCAGAAACTGTCCAACGACTGACAAGTTCATAGGGTTCAGCTCCGTGTTTCTCATGACCGTTCTCAAAAATTTACCTCTAAGTTACCTGTGCTCGTCTGTTGGCACCGCTCTGTTTTCCAGTATCTGGTCCAGAGTGCTATCCCATTTATGCAGACGTTTTATTCTCTCCAGAAAGACCACACGGGCTTGCCACGGCAAGAGCCCCCCTGCCAGGCTCACTGTCAGTCTTGCCCTTTGGCTCCCATGCCATCTAATGCCCGTATGTTGGTAAAAGCAAAAACGCCCAGATAAATTGAAAGAGCAAATAGCGGGGCGCCTGGGGGCTCAGTCGGTGAAGCGTCCAGCTTGGGTTCAGGTCGTGACCTCACGGTTTGGGAGTTGGAGCCCCTCTTCGGGCTCTGTGCTGACAGCGCAGAACCCAGTTCAGATTCTCTATCCCCATCTCTCTCTGCCCCTCCCCACTTGGCGCTTTCTCTCTCAAAAATAAACAAACATTAACAAAGATAAAAGAGAAAATGATGAATCCAATTACTCATTTGTTATGTAAACATTTACAGGTCTAATATACCTAATAAAACACGTTAGAGATGAATGTTAAGTATGTAGTGTCAATAGAATTGTTTTAGGTGAAGTTTTAAAATATCCTTCGAAAATAAATCATAAAATTCAGAAAACTTAATACAGAAAAATTAAAATGAAATAATAGGATGTAGTACTTTTAAAGGTTCTTGTCAAGAAGAAGGAAAACAGGGGCGCCTGGGTGGCTCAGTTGGTTGAGTGACCGACTTCGGCTCAGGTCATGATCTCACGGTTTGTGAGTTCGAGCCCCACATCGGGCTCTGTGCTGACAGCTCAGAGCCTGGAGCCTGCTTTGGATTCTGTGTCTCCTTCTCTCTCTGTCCCTCCCCCACTCATGCTCTGTCTCTCTCTGTCTCAGAAATAAATAAACGTTAAAAAAAAAAGATTAAAAAAAGAATAAGGAAAACACATCAGTAGGAATGTCATAGAGTCCCCAGTAGAAGGCTGATACTGATAAACAATATCAGAGAAGAAGTAAAGAAATAATCACACCTAATATTTCCTCAAGTTCCGTTTCTAGATTGATAATTTGGAAGAGATCTTTTGACCAGCTTTTTTGTTTGTTTGTTTTTTTGTTTTTGTTTTGTTTTATTTTGTTTTTGGTCTGTAGGGACTTCAGTCTTTCGACTGATAACAAACTGTCAGATTCTTTTCCACAAAAGCCTCTCAAGGTCATCTTTGACGTCTTACATTTCGTTATGTATGGAAACAGGTTTCCTGCGGTTGCTATATCAATGTCAACACTGATTATTCATCTTCCATTTGTTCCATAGTTTCACAAAAACTATGTGAAGTAGATGCAGATTCTCAAGGGAAGGCAGTGTGACCTCCAAGGGGAATTTCAAAACCCCGTGCGGATTGTGTCACGCTCATTTGGGGGCAAGAGCGGGCTCAGTGTGTTGGGGTCACGCATGCAGAGTGATCCCTCGCACCTCCTCCAGATGAAGCTACACTGGTGTAATCACGGGCCACGACCACACTTCTCCCGTGGCTGAAGAAAAAGTCCTACTAGCGCTCACACCTGCTGACCCCACACCACGCTGTCTGGCCACTAATCACTGGTCTCTACGGAGCACCTAGTAAGGACGCGTCTGGACCCACGACGGTCGGCATCTTTGGTGGAAGTGAATGACCACAGGACTGTCTTCACCCCAGCAGGAGGGGCACAGTGGCCTTCATCTGCACCCACACCGCGGGTCTAACCACAACCGTGCGGTGTCCTAGCACTCCACTCAGGAGTTCTTGGAATCAGTTAATGTAGGAAACAGCATTATCCCAACGTGCCATCATTTATTTCCTTGTAAGAAGGAACCGCAGGTTTTGGAACCACAGACGCACAACTGACGTCTGCAAGTCTAAGGTTTGCTCACATTCGTATAATGGCTAACACTTTGAGCCCTATGTGCTGGGTATGTTGTGTGAATTCTGTCGTTTAACCCCCTCATCTGTCCTTTGAGGTAGGCAGTGGTCCCTGATGATGCATAAACGAGGCTTTTGAGAGACTCAATTGCTCATGGTGGCCACTCAAAGGCCAGGAGGCCCAGAATCCAGTCTGGCGCCCTGACTCCTGACCTCAGGGCTGTGTCCTTTGCCAGGACCAGGGGTGCTCAGTCCCTACCCGACTGAGAGGCCCACGAACTGCAAGCTGGGTTTTGTTATAAACCATTGCTGTGAACTGCCTTTGATTCACTTCGGAAAACAACAACAACAACAACAACAACTTGGTTCAAGGCATCCCGAGTGTTGAATTCAAGTAAACCCACTCGTGGCTCAGTTCAGGTCAAGTCACACGACTTGAACGCCAACGTCTGTCCTTAAGAAAACACATTCTCTGGGTGATTTCTTTGGCCTGCGTTGCACCCAGGAACACTTCTGTTCCCATGGATCTGTCACTATAAGGGTCACCTTCTTTACTGGAGAGCCCGGGAGGTTAGCGGAGCACCCTGGACCTGTGTCCCTGCACCTGTTTTTGCTTCCTGCTCTTACGCTTAAGAAAACAGGTGTGACAGTATCCCATATACTGCAAGTCTTGACAGCATTATGATAGTACGGGCTGATTCCACTGCTTTGGTATGCCTGAACTCTCAGAAGTACAGTTTCTCCTCTCGTCACTGGGTGTGTGTATACGTTCCACATAGGGTAGGCACGATCCTCAAGACCATCCAGCAACCCAGTCCTGTGCCATTCTACAGACATCCTCCAAAATTGTGAACTGGATTAGAAAGTAGTTAGATTGCTAATAAAACCTAAATTTGAGTTTGTGCTTGGTCGGTGCAAGAAATTAGAATAAGCCCATGACAAATTTCAGAAGGCAGACCCAATCGGTGCATTTTGGATGTGTGCGTGGAAACTATCCCTTGCGTCTTGAAATTCGCTTGTCTCCCTCCCTGCGCTCACCAGTCCTGCAGAGAATGTTTACACTTGTATTCAGCTCAGCTCCTATCTCATCCTAAAACCCTGCAACACCTTCTTCCCAGGGCAAAACACACAAAAACCCAACAGGCTGCTCAGGGGGGGTCCCTCCCTTCCTTTCTAGCGATCGGTGCCTGCTACACTGGGCTGGTATCTCTTTCTTAGAAGGGCTGATTTCAGGCTTCCCTCAGGATGTTTATACCTTCTCTTTCCTCCCCCATCTATTATTGTGTAATCCTTTGAGTGTCTCCACTTTGCTTCAAACCCCACCTGTTGTGATCTGAAACTCATATACATTTGAAACTTTCATGGTTTCCCTCCATATAATGTGAGCCCCACGAGTGCGAGAATTCTGTCTTGTTTGCTCAGTCACCTCAGTACCTAGAACAGGGCCTGACACATAGTTTGCTCTCAAAAACTACTTCTATGTGAGTAAATAGCCTATTTCATTTAATAGATTCTGTGTAGTTAACACTTAAGACGGAGGTGCGGTTGAAGTCTATGTATACATACTCCTGGTGTGTTTGTGTCCCTATTTCATTACAGTTGTGTTTTCATGAAAAGGGGCTTGATTCTGCCCATTTTCTCTTCATCCAGGGACCATTAATATATTCGCTTTGTTTCATAAACGAGTCTTAAGATCGAGGGAAGGAATATTCAAATGCATTTATTGACTTAAATATTCAGTAGCGAATGAACAATCTTGTTTACATAAAAAAAAACAGATGAAAACATAATATGTGTTTACATTTAAAAAAAATTTTTTTTTTCAACGTTTATTTATTTTTGGGACAGAGAGAGACAGAGCATGAACGGGGGAGGGGCAGAGAGAGAGGGAGACACAGAATTGGAAACAGGCTCCACGCTCTGAGCCATCCGCCCAGAGCCTGACGCGGGGCTCGAACTCACGGACCGCGAGATGGTGACCTGGCTGAAGTCGGACGCTTAACCGACTGCGCCACCCAGGCGCCCCAATACGTGTTTACATTTTAACGGCAGGGTGCAGGAGGCGCGTGGGCCGGAAGAGGCATCTATGTATTAATTGTAGCATTTGTGTCACCAGCATCCGTGTAACTGTTCGTCTCCCTTAGGAGACAGTACATTAAATACCTTTCTCTCAAGTTCACTTAGCCTTTTTACCCCCAGGCTTTTGTAATTAAATGTTGATGAAAGGAGCATCCTTTGGAAACTCTTAACAAAAACTACAGATAGACCAGCAGAAGGAACCACTCGCTCACTTTCTGAATTGCTGACAAATGTTCACTGCATGTGTGTTTTTTGTTTTTTGTTTTGTTTTGTTTTGTTTTGTTTTTTTGACGGCTCGTTGTCCTCTCCCATTTTCAGAAATCGAAAAGGGAGGATGCGGGGACCCTGGGGTCCCTGCCTACGGGAAGCGGACTGGCAGCAGCTTCCTGCACGGGGACACCCTCACTTTTGAGTGCCAGGCGGCCTTCGAGCTGGTGGGGGAGAGGGTCATCACGTGCCAGCAGAACAACCAGTGGTCGGGGAACAAGCCCAGCTGTGTGTGTGAGTACTGTGCCCTGGGGGGCCGGGCAGGGGCCGGGGCCGGGGACAGAGAGGGCTGCATGCCAGGCAGGGGCCGGGGACAGAGACGGCTGCTGTCAGCATCTCTAGGGAGAGCCTCAGGGACCAGAAGGGGCAGGGGCGTTGTCCAGTGCCCACTCCCTCGCTGTCCTCACTCAGGTAAAAGCGACCCGTGACGTGGGTACCTCTTCTAGAGCACGTGGAGCCCAGGGCTCTCTGTAGAAAGAACGTTTTGTGCAGAAAAGCTCTGGCTCCCTCCAGGGCTCCCATGGGTGGCCCGAGAGAGACCTCCCCAGGCACCCGTCTGTATGACTTTGCTAATGCTGCACCAGGGACACATCGCTGGTGAGCCCGGCTGGTGTTCGCTTGGGTTTCAGTCCAAGAACTGCCTGCTCCTCGTAAGTCAAACGTTTGCACTTCATGGCAGTTTAAAAGCAAGATTTATTTGGTAACCAGATGTAGCTTGGCCTGGACAATGTGGGAATAAACCCAACAGGTGTCCTCCAAAAAGTCACATGTGTACATACATGCATGTGTGCATACACGTACGTAAACTGGTTTCAGGTACACACCTTTAAGAGACAAATGTCCCAAGAGATTTTTATATTATCCACCCGAACCATTGGTCTGCTCCTCGGAGTTGTTACTTATTAACTGTACCCGTAACTGATAAACAATAAATAACCTGAGAAACTGCACTTTAAAGGCAAACATAAAATGTAAAGAGAAAGGTCGTCCTAGAAGACTAAATAGCACGGATACTATTTTCCGGAAATTGTGCCTGTGAGACAGACATGCCTTTTCATATGACCGTTTGCTCCTCTGAAGGCAGAAAGCTTTAACTAGAAATTCTAATATTTGCCCCAAGTGTCCGTGAAGTCGGGGAGGATGATCTCTGCGTCAAGCCTCCGCCCGATCATTTGGCTCTGGTGGTGGTGCGTCCAAAGGGATCCTGTCTTTCCGACTCAGGGGAACAGGGAGTGTTCAGGTTCAGAATTGCCAGTTGAACAGTCGGACGCTGCCAGCCCTGCGTCCACAGCAACCAGCTGCAGGTGCCCCTTATTGGGATCTGTGCAGACCTGTTTGAAAGTACGCTTGTGTCTTCCCAGTCTCATGTTTCTTCAACTTCACTGCGTCGTCGGGGATTATCCTGTCCCCCAATTATCCGGAGGAATACGGCAACAACATGAACTGCGTTTGGTTGATCATCTCTGAACCCGGGAGCAGGATCCACCTCATTTTCAACGATTTTGACGTGGAGCCTCAGTTTGACTTCCTGGCGATCAAAGACGATGGGATTTCTGACCTAACCGTCCTCGGCACTTTCTCGGGCCACGAGGTGCCCTCCCAGCTGGCCAGCAGCGGGCACATCGTCCGCTTGGAATTTCAGTCCGACCACTCCACCACCGGCAGGGGGTTCAACATCACTTACACCAGTAAGCCTGCTGCCACCCGCCCCACCCCCACGTGTCCGGGCCCCCTGACCACACGTGTCCAGGCCGACTCTTCAGAGGCTTCACAGTGATACGTAGCATCGTGACAGGACTGAACTTCCCTCTCTTCCTTCCTTCCTTCCATCCCTGCATCCATCCGTCCATCCACCCATGCATCATCCTCCATGCAAAAACTACTGTAGCAAACGGATTGAGCCATTTGGGGTCAGGAGCTGTGGATTAGAACACCAGTACTTGGTATACTTAGTGAATTTTGGTTAGACCCCTTTTTTCTTTCTTTTTTTTGTCTCAGGGCCCTCATTTGCAAACCAGATTGTATTTAAGAACATCTACTTAAATGCGTTGTTGAGTGAATAAAGTAAGGTAACAATGTTAAATGTGAGTTATAAATCATAATTTGCTGGCTGCCTACTTCTCTTAGGCTCTGTGCTTAGGATTTGCCAGCAATTATTTCATTTAATATTACAGAAACTCTGGGATATAGGCTGGGCATTCCTTATCTGTGAATTAAGATATCTAATCAGATCATCAGAATATCTGCCAAAGGGCAGATAAAAAACACAAGAGCCAGGATTCTAACCCAGATGTGTCTGAACCAAAATCATTTCTAGCACCTGCCATATTTCTTGTTTTTCTTAGTGCACGCACAAAGTGCTTTCAAACTGTGCAATGTAGCGTAGACAATAGTTGTATATATTTATCCATGTCTTCGTTCTTTCTGTCTTACTAGATATCACTATCCTGTCTGCTTAATGCATTTATCTATCTGTAAGTGTTTAACTGAAATTCAGGACAATAAATCGCTTTATTAGTTAGCTTGTTTCTTCCTTTTTAAGTATACCTACTTAATAGTCTAGTATTTTAATTCTATAATTATAGAATTTTTTTTTTTTTTCCTTTTTAGCATTTGGTCAGAATGAGTGCCATGATCCTGGGATTCCCATAAATGGGCGACGTTTTGGGGACAGATTTCTACTTGGGAGTTCGGTTTCTTTCCACTGTGACGATGGCTTTGTCAAAACCCAGGGGTCGGAGTCTATCACCTGCACCCTGCAGGATGGAAATGTGGTCTGGAGCTCCACGGTCCCCCGCTGCGAAGGTACGGGTCTGCTCTCGTTCGCCAGTTATTTTCCTTTGAAATGCGACCTAACCTAACCAACAAGCGGACGCACAGCTGGGTTGGTTTCCCCGGGCTGATGTCACAGAGTACCGCACCCCTGGTGGCTTGACAAACAGCCATCTGGCGTCTCAGGGTCCTGGAGGCTGAAAGTCCGAGGGCACTGTCAGTAGGGCTGGTTCCTCTTCAGCTCTGAGGGAGAATCCGTTCCAGTCCTGTCCCAGTTTGGGGGGGCTGCTGGTGTCTCTGGAGTTCCTTGGCTGCCAGAAGCATCACCCCAGCTTTCTCCATGGAGAGCTCCTACGTTGCCAAATGTGTCCTCTTTCTGATGCCACCAGTCACATGGGATGAGCGCCATGCTAATAAGCCCCCCTAGGTGATTATGTCTGCAAGGACCCTATTTCCAAATAAGGTCACATCCTCAGGTGCTGGAATTGAAAATCGCAAATATAAACTGGGGGTGGGGGCGGGCATGATTCAGCCTGTGACAGCAGCACGGGTTTCAGTAGCCATGTTGTTTTGTGGCTCTGCATGCAGCTGATGCAAATACCGCATAACTACTTTTCTTCCTGACATTTCTACTCTGGTTAACCAGGAAGGAAAACTAGAGGGGGTCGGAAATGGGGAGGATAGCACCTCCAGTGTTTGGTCAGGTAAAAAATATTTACTCAGAATATGTACTCACACCCCATCAGAATGGCCCATACAAAATGAGCTAAGATAAGAAAAGCTGTTTTAAAAAAACTTAACTCCGGTAAATATCAGGAAATACATTTTAAGTAGACTTTTTTTTAAAGAGCACTTTTAGGTTCACAGCAGAATTGAGTGGAAGCTGTGGGTATTTCCCATATACCTCCCACCCCACAAATGCACAGCTTTCCCAGTGATCAGCATCCCCACCAGGTGGTTCATTTGTTACAACCGATGACCCCACAGTGACACGTCACCGTGACCCAGAGTCCATGGTTACATCACGGTCGCTGTTGGTGGGGCACATTCTCTGGGTTTGGACGAATGTGTAATGACACGTATCCATCATTTTAGTGCCGTGAGGGTGGTCTCCCTACGCTAAAAATCCTGTGTCCCACCCCCTCACCCCTCCCCCAACTCCCAGCCCCTGCCAACCACTGATCTTGTTACTGTTTCTATAATGCTGCCTTTTCTAGAATGTCACACAGTCGCAGTCATGTATTATGTAGCCTTTTCAAATGGGCAAGAAATACAGATTTTAAAACAAAGGTAAAATTTGAAAACGTTAATAAGATGTATTGTTCATAAGGTTGGGAATAGCTGGCAGTTTCTGGCCATGCTGTTGAGGGGACAAGATTATGGCATCATGGTACAAATTTATATGAATGGTTGTACATTTTCGTTTTACTTTTTGAGCTATAGAAGTTGTATTTCTGGATCAAAATTGTAAGGACATAAACAACTCTGGAAAGATTTTTTTTTTCAAGAATGCTCTTTGCAGTATTAAATATAGCAACCAAACGTGCAAATAATTCAACTTTAAACAACAGAGAATCAGATAAATCATCACACGCTCATACACTGGGATGCGTGCATCGTTAACACAGATTGTACCGTCGAAGATGTTCATCATGTGATGTTCATCGTGGGAACAACCAGATGATACGACCACTTGTGTTATAATACGCCACCGTGAAGAACATATGAATATTTGCGCATGTCGTGATAATAATAATTTTTAAAAGCCTAAAAAGAGAGTATACAACAAAATGTTGATCACAGGTACAGGTGAATTTTTCCACTGTTTATTTTTTAGTTTTCCAGTCACCATCGATCTCTAGGTGTTTATTTTACGGTAAGCAAATTCAAAACATGCTGTGTGTCCAATACAGCCTACAGTTGTGAACCTGATCTGTCTTCCCTTGTAGCTTAAGGACCTTTTTCTCCTGTCTAGAATGATCGGCCTAACGTTAGCATGCAAGCAGTGTAAGCGGAAGCAGAATGTCCTGCGAAAGACGAACTGCCCAGCGGGCTGACCGCGGTGGGGCGGTGGCTTCTGTCTCACAACCTCATCCCTCAGCCCCAGGCCAAGTTACCGTCGTTAATCTAAGGGTCAGGACGCGGTGAAAGCTCCAGAAACACGTCCTCACGTGCATACTTTCATAAAGTGCTCAAGCAGTCTGGTGAGGCTGAGCACCGCTGGGGGTGGAAAACTGGTAAACTATAGGGTGAGAGCACAGTAGTAGGATGTTCATTCTTACCTATTTTTATCACGTCTTCTAAGGGTATAGCTTTTTTAAAAAAATTTTTGTATTGTTTATTTCTGAGAGAGAGTGAGAACACATGGAGGGGGTGGGGGGGTTCAGAGAGAGAGGGAGAGAGTCCCAACCAGGTTTCACATTCAGAGACTGACTCAGAGCTCGAGTCCATGACCCTGGGATCCTGACTTGAGCTGATATCAAGACTTGGACACTCAACAGACTGAGCCACCCAGGAGCCCTGGAAAGAAGGGTTTTTTTGTTTGTTTTTGGTTTTAAGTCAGTACTCTCTAGTCTCTGTTGTCTTCTGGCCACGATTCCCACTGTCTTTGGAGGGCTTACCTGAAAAAGGCTGTGTGTAGATATGTTACAAGGTGCAGGGCAAATGTGTTCCTCGGCACAGTCGGAGGAAGAAAGCGGCAGATGGTGTTTCAAATAAAGTCCGACGAAGGAGAAAGTATCACGTTAAATGTGAATGGACCATTCTTTTGTTATTTGGAAGAGACCTGCAGACTCAGCTGTGGGTTGTTAACACAGAAAACTCTTAAAGGACTAGTTGATGGTGAAAGATTTTTTTCTTCTTTTTTTAATTTACTTGTACTGAGAAACCCAATTCCTGAGTTCTGGTGACTCTCAGGGAGTGTGCATAGATACTCTGATAATCTAACTCACAAAATACCCCCAATCAATGTCCTTGCTGAAGAGAAATAGAAATGCTACTTCAGAATTGAGTGGATCTAGTTGGAAAAAAATCAAATGGAAAATAAAGGATTTAGTAACACAGGGGTGCCTGGTGGCTCAGTAGGTTAACCGTCTGACTTCAGCTCACGTCATGATCTCACAGCTTGTGAGTTCGAGCCCCACATCAGGCTCTGTGCTGACAGCTTGGGGGCCGCTTCAGATTCTTTGCCTCCCTCTCTCTGCCTCTCCCCCACTCATGCTCTGTCTCTCTCTCTCCCAAAGAATTAATAAAGCATTAAAATATTTTTTTAGGGACGCCTGGGTGGCTCAGTCGGTTAAGCAGCCGACTTCGGGTCAGGTCACGATCTCGCGGTCCGTGAGTTCGAGCCCTGCGTCGGGCTCTGGGCTGATGGCTCAGAGCCTGGAGCCTGCTTCCGATTCTGTGCCTCCCTCTCTCTCTGCCCCTCCCCCGTTCATGCTCTGTCTCTCTCTGTCTCAAAAATAAATAAACGTTAAAAAAAAATTTTTTTAATATTTTTTTAAATAAAAAAAGCAAAAAGGATTTAGTAACACAAACATATTTGAAAAGACTCAGAAGGAACATGATGTTCCTTTGAGAATATACACATTTATTGTTTCTCTCAAGGATTACTTTTTATAATCAATTATATAATTGATTATATAACGTGAACCTTAACAAATTGCTCTAAGTCCAGGCCACATGCACTGATTATATGCCAATTACAATGTAAGCATATTACACGAATAGAACCACAGGCAAATACTTTAGAGAAATTGTGTGGGAAAGCCTCAAGTCTTAAGGCATATGATACCCAGAAACCCTGTCAGAGGGAACCCTCTCTGTTAAGATAATGTGAGACAGAGAGCCTGTGCTAGGAGGCAAAGGCCCCAGTGTTGAACAAAAAGACAAAAAGTGAAGAAATTGATTGCTAAAATTAACAAATTAGAAAAAAATAATGACTTAGAATATCATATCAATAAAAATCAAATGTTAGAATAATGCAAAAGTGAGTCTTTGTTAGTATCAATAAAATAGACAAACCTTCTATGATTCTGATAAGAAAATTAGGAGAAAAGACAATTATAGGTATTTTAGCAAAATAGAAGAAAAATAACCATGATTACAAAAATAATAATTTGACATAATAAAATAATTTATTGTTACCAAAAATAACTCTACATAAAGAGTGGAAGCCTCACAATAGAGCAAGTTCTTTAAAAATTATGTTTATTTATTCTGGCAGAGTTTGCTGGGTACCAATAAATCATGGGTATAAATTGTTTGTGGTCTGGATGAAAGATTTATCTGTTTATTTGTTCTGCCTCTAACCTGCCCATATATTTCAGTACAGTTCACTGTCACTGAAAACACAACCTGGGCGCCTGGGAGGCTTGGTCAGGTGAGCATCCAGTTTGAGCTCATGTCATGATCTTACGGCTCATGAGTCCAAGCCCTGCATTGGGCTCTGTGCCGTTAGCGTAGATCCTCTGACTCCCTCTCTCTCTCTGCCCCTCCCCAGCTTGTGCACATTGTCTCTCTTTCTCTCAAAAATAAATAAACATTTTTAAAAAATTAAAAAACACAAGCTAATTTTGGGGGAAAATAAGTGTACAAGAATACATCATCAACTCTATGGCAACAAATTTTAACATTCAATGAAATTGGTGATTCCCTAGCAAAGTATAAATTATCCGAAGTGACCCCCCAAAAAGTGAAAAATGTAAATAAACAAAATACCATAAAAACAGGTTTGAAAAAAAGTTTAAAGGTTGGACGTTGAGAAAGACACGAGCACCAGAGAGGTGCAGAAGGAAGGTGTCTGTCTTCCAAGTTCATAGAAGTTTTGTGTTGGGAACACTATCACAGCTGCTGTAAAATATGCACCGACTCCCACATAATATTTCATAGAGCCAGCATTCACGGAATATACCCCAGCCAGATAGAAAAACATAATGCTGTCGCGAAGGGCACAAACACTCAATAATAAATCAAAGAATGTGCATTCTGAAGACCTCGTTCACATATTTGCTTTTCTGTTATCACCTCTGTGAATACGAAAGTCATTAGTGCTGTTCACCAGATAAACAGAATCTCCGCCAAATCGGTTGGTTTTCTTGGCCTCAGTGGGGTTTGGTGAAACCTGTAGCAGGTCGTGGCCTGTTAGGAGTGAGTGGAAGTGACATACACAGTGAGTGACCCTGAGCCTTTGCCCCCTACAAGACCTTGGTGCCTTAGCTCATTCAAGAAAGGATCCCCTAGACAGGTGGCCTGTGTGAGAAATAGATCTCTCTTGTCACAGCTAATATAACTGTGGGGTTGGTGGCCTAGTATGTCATAATCAGAGTTGGCTAATACGGCAAACTTGACTTTATCGTTTAACAATTACCTCTTTAATTTTGTTGACCTACAATATACAGATCAAAATATCTATTTCATCAGGGTAAAGTGATACAGATTCTTCTAACATATACTGTAAATGTAAAGTGATATGTAAAACACAAGATATTAATGAAATAATAGCAACGTGTGACAGTGTGAGCACCTTCCTTCCAAGAAATATAACAACTCAAAGTTTTATTTATTTTTTTAAATGTTTATTTTGAGACAGAGAGACAGACAGAGCACAAGTGGCGGAGGGGCAGAGAGAGAGAGGGAGACACAGAATCCAAAGCAGGCTCGTGACCTGATCGTGACCTGAGCCGAAGTCAGATGCTTAACTGACTGATCCACCCAGGTGCCCCAACAACTCAGTTTTTTTTTTTTAAACTTTAGTAAAGTGAAGGAAACATACAGTTTTGCATTTAGGTGGGAAATAAGCCTTATAGATGTAAAATAAGTCACCACACAGATTTAAAAAGATCTCATGTGGGCGCCTGGGTGGCGCAGTCGGTTAAGCGTCCGACTTCAGCCAGGTCACCATCTCGCGGTCCGTGAGTTCGAGCCCCGCGTCGGGCTCTGGGCTGATGGCTCGGAGCCTGGAGCCTTTTTCCGATTCTGTGTCTCCCTCTCTCTCTGCCCCTCCCCCGTTCATGCTCTGTCTCTCTCTGTCCCAAAAATAAATAAACAGAAAAAAAAAAATTTAAAAAGATCTCATGTATCAAACTTTTAAAAAAATCTATAATCGCTGCATGTCTTTCTTATATAGTATCTTTGGATAATTACACATGAAAGAAGTAAAATTGTTTAATTTTGCCTTTATCTTTTCTAAAAAGTATTTGCTGTAACATGTCAGGAAGCATAGGAATACAGGCTAAAAATATGAAGTTAAGGACTTAACTAGAACAAAATCCTAATGTTAATTGGTAAAGATAGGTTGTTTTTAAAATTATGATTACATAATGACGATTTTCTTTAATAACTCAAGTTCATAAAAATGACTGATTTCTTGTTATTAACTTCTAACTATACAAAAAACGCACACATCTCACAGCTTATTTTGAAAGAAAACTATACCAAGAAAAACATGATCCCCACAGCAGTCACCAGTGTTATCTGCCATTAACATATTTTTGAATTTTTTTTCTCTTCTTTAAACAAATTTTTAATTAAATTTTTCCTCTTCTTTAAACAAATTTTTTATTAAAAATTTTTATTAGATTATGATACACGTATAATTTTATATCTTGATTTGCAAAATGTAATATTTTCATTGCAGAGATTTTCTTACATTAACAGGATTTGAAAACATTATCTCAAATGTGTTTGTGACGTTCTGATATGTAGTCATAATCTTGTCATGTTTATTTTTTTTCTTTTGTTATTCCATTATAAATGAAGCCACCATGATTACTTTTATAGATTTCTCTGTCAGATGTTTTTCTCCACCATCAACACCTGGGTGAAATTGTATATAATTTTTAAGCATTTTAATGCACATGGCTATTTTTTTGATACAAGATATATTTTTTCTTATTTATTTATTTATTTATTTATTTTTTCAACGTTTATTTATTTTTGGGGCAGAGAGAGACAGAGCATGAACGGGCGAGGGGCAGAGAGAGAGGGAGACACAGAATCAGAAGCAGGCTCCAGGCTCTGAGCCATCAGCCCAGAGCCCGACGCGGGGCTCGAACCCACGGACCGTGAGATCGTGACCTGGTTGAAGTCGGACGCTTAACCGACTGCGCCACCCAGGCGCCCCAACTTTTTTATTTATTTTTTATAAACATTTCTTTTTTTTTAATTTTTTTTTTAATACTTATTTAGTTTTTGAGACAGAGAGAGATAAAGCATGAACGGGGGAGGGTCAGAGAGAGAGGGAGACACAGAATCTGAAGCAGGCTCCATCCAGGCTCTGAGCTGTCGGCACAGAGCCCCACACGGGGCTCGAACTCACGGACCGTGAGATCATGACCTGAGCCGAAGTCAGACGCTCAACCGACTGAACCACCCAGGCGCCCCGATATATTTTTTTTTCAAAAATGATTTTTTTAACCGGGGACATTTTTATGTTTCCTTTGCTATCTGTAGATTGACAGATTTGATTACAAATATGGCAAAGAACTTTGAGAAGAAAAATATGAAAAAAATGTGCGACTGGGCAGAAACATGTTAAGTATATATTATTATTTAAAAATTCCTGTAGATTATACAGAAATGCAAAATCCCTTTTCCAGAGCACCAAGCACATGCCTTCCTGAGACTCCTTTTCTTCTTGATAATTATGGATCACACGAAAGGACTGATGTAGATTAATCCTATGTTTCTCGAATTTGAAAATTTTGTTTTCCTAACATTCACTAATAATTTAGTTTGATGTGTGTGGAAAGTCATTTTAATAAAACAAGCGCACCCTAGCTGAATAAGCACACACACATCATTAAACTATAGTATCTGTCTGCACACACACACATGCACACACACGCATGTACTCACGCCCACACTCAGGCGCACACGCGCACATATGCACACGCACACGTGCACACACGCCCCACAGAGTAATTCTGTTTCAGATGTGAACTATTTTTGTTTGCTAATCAACAGATGTTTGTGGAAGTACAAATACATACAAGATACGGATGTCGATGGTGTGCATTTCATGGATCTGACGTGAAAATCAGATGTGACAAATTTATCCCCCACTTCCACCTTGACGTTTTTAGGTAGAAGGACCTTTGCTGTGAGTTGATGATAGACGCCCAGGTGTGGGATGTACCTGCTCTGCTTTCAGTAATCTTCGTTTATCTGGGGATGCCTTTAGCTCGAATCCTTGACAACGTTAAGTCCTTGAAGACAGAAGCACATTCCTGCCGTCACAGGTGTGGCTGTGGTGCCCCCGCGTGTTTAATCTGACCTGCCGACATCCTGAACTGTCTTTCAGCCCCGTGTGGTGGACACCTGACAGCTTCCAGTGGACTCATTCTGCCTCCCGGATGGCCAGGATATTATAAAGATTCTCTGAACTGTGAATGGATCATCGAAGCCAAGCCCGGACACTCTATCAAAATAACTTTTGATAGGTAAGAACAAACTTTTCCTTAACTCGGGCCTACTGACCCATGTACATCCAAAGGTTTTAGTTAAATGGATGATGAAAAGGAGAAATATGACAGTTCTTGGTTGGATCCCCCAGAGGAGTTCACTTAAAGAGAAACCGGCATTTGCTGGGTGTATTTGTTCCTCTTGAATTTTACCCTCTGAGGCCAGGGCTGAGTTCACTTGGCCGCCTTGCGTAGGGGAGTACCAAGTTCCAGATGATCATTCCCAGTGCTCGCAGTTGCTGGGCCCTGAGTCCAACTCCAGGTTTGGGATCTGTAGCTGAAATAAATTCGGCCTGGGGTTTAACTACAAACGGAAGCCTCTTTGGTCCCTTCGATGCCTTCTGGAACAGCCCAAGAATGCGGTGTCGTGACCTAGTGACGCTTTAAGCTACAGAGCTGTCACTGGGGTGTGTGACAGAGTAGTTCCCTGTGACTGTTCTGTCACTGGAATGCGGTCGGAGGTAGCTGTTTGATAATAAATTTGATAATCTGACACACAATCATACTACGTGAATTCTCCATGAGAAAACATGCCTCCGTTTGTCTCCAAGATGAAATCAGTTTCATGATTTCAAATGTTTTCAAAAAGATAGACGTTTTCAAATGTAAGGAAGCATACTTGTTTAATGTTTTAAGCTTAATGTCTGGGCAATATTAAGCTCTCTGTTAACAATTACCTTCTTCTTGACTGAAAGAGTTTGGGTGTAACTATTCAGGATATTATAATGTCTCAAGACGGATGAACATTGTTATATTTTTTCTGTTTGTTTCCACTAATTTTCTGCTAACCAATAATATATATAGGAAATACGTTTAGTGGGAGTTGCGTTATCACTTGGTATTATTTGTATTTTAAATTATTGTTCATTAATTAAGTCTAGTAAGATAAGAATCTCCAGTAGGATAATCTTTCAGAAGAAGATTAAAATTCTGTCTTGTGTATCCATTATACTGGAGAATGGATCCTTGCATATAAACTTAATCATTGTGAAAAAATTAACTCTATAACATTCAGTAAATTAAGTATGGTTCTTTATTAATTTTTATGCTTTCTGGTATTGAGAGGGGGAAGAGCAAAGCACTGCCTGATTCCTGGCATCACAGCAAATTTAAATCACTCAGGAAAAATTGTGACTTTATATCCTGGTTTGGCACAAGTTACTAGTGCTGTGTTTTCAGTTGCCTGAACAGAGAGAGAGAGCCATATAATTTTTCTCAATCTTGTCTTTTAAATTCTATGGAACTGTGATATTTTGCTAAATTTCATTTATAAGAAGCAATATTTCTGATATTTTCAGACATTGGTGACTTTTACACTATTCTTTAGAGATTAGTTGTAGAGATTAGTTGTAGAGATTAGCCCCGAGCAGTGGGCTGACACACGAGTAAAGGATGTGTTCATACATACAAACTTAAAGGTCCAAAATAACGGGGGCGCCTGGACGGCTCAGTCTGATAAGCCTCCGACTTTGGCTCAGGTCATGATCTCACAATTGTGGGTTTGAGCCCCGTGTTGGGCTCTGTGCTGACATATCAGAGCCTGGAGCCGGCTTCGGATTCTGTCTCTCTCTCTGTCTCTCTCTGTCTCTGTCTCTGTCTCTCTCTGCCCCTCCCCCACTTATGGTGTCTCTCTCTCTCTCTCTCTCTGTCTCTCTCTCTCTCACTCACTCACTCAAAAATAACCATTAAAATTTTTTTTAAAAATTAATGTTTACTTGTTTTTGAGTGAGAGAGAGACAGAGACAGAGACAAAGCAAGAGCTGGGGAGAGGCAGAGAGAGAGGGAGACACAGAACCCAAATCAGGCTCCAGGCTCTGAACTGTCAGCACAGAGACTGATGCAGAGCTTGAACCCACGACCCGTGAGATCATGACCTGAGCCGAAGTCGGTGGCTCGACCGACTGAGCCACCCAGGTGTACCAAACTCTAAAAAAATTAAATAAAAATGAAAAGTCAAAACGTTACATTAAAAAATGATAAGTAAGTAAACAAATAAGTAAATTTCATGCTGGTGTCATTCTTACGCAAAGCACGTCAGGTTGCCAAATAAAGGAAAACAACCATTGTGGTGTGCAGTCCGCCAGCTGTTGAGATGTGCGCCGTCATCAGTCCTAGCTGTTGCTAAAGACAGAAGGTCTGGAGACTGTAGCACAGATTTTGCAAATGAGATTTATTTCATGCTTATCCAAACCTCTTGAATCTAAACTTGGGTAAGTGAGAAACCATAGCGTGTTCAGAACACGTTCTGGAAAAGTCAGCGAGGAAGCGGTGCCATCGTACCCCAAATGCACAGTCTGTGGCTCCATTCCGGTCTACCGTGTGTCAGGGCAAGCGTCTTGGGTTCCTTCTGATGGAAGAGCAGGGGTCGCTGCGCCAGGCTGAGGTGCTAGAGCATGTCATTGTCCTCTGGCTGCTCTAGGAGGATGTTGCGTGATTTAGAGATAAGCAGGGCGCAGCCCTGTGCTTTCAGCCTCTTCAGTTGTGCCCGGAAGCCAGGACAGCCTGCGCTCGCCAACCCCCCGCCACCCCTGCTGTCCGTCAGCGTCCTCTGATGCAGAGTGTGGGGATAATAATGACCCAGGCTTCTACGGAATTCTTCGCCTGAAAGTCACGGACTGAGTCCGAGGCTCGCGTAAGCTGATCGCTGATGGCACAACCGGACCCTGGAAACCGGGTTAGCTCTTTGAGGACGAGATGGGCCCAGTTCGAAAATTGTCTCAGTGCCTGGAATGGTCTCCTCATCGCACCCAAGAGGACCCAAGTGGCTGCCGCCTTATCTAAATATAACACAGGGCCAGGTTCTCTGCGCGCATAAAGTCCTTCTTAAAAGTGAAGCACTTTGGGAAGCTGTTCAAACCTTGAAAGCCACGTTTCGTTTCTGAACAGCACTGGGCTCTCGGTGCTTCTGGTGTGTGCATAGAGTGAGCGCAGCTTAAGAGGCACAGGAGTTTTTTTCCTAAAAGTATTCAGAATATCATCATGTAGTTCGAATTACTTTCTTCCTTTAAGAGATCATGTCTCCTTATGTGCCCATTTAAGATGTCCGTAAACTGGTTGAACGGGGGATCATGAAACATAGTTTGAAAATGCATGATTGATTTTTCACAGTATTTTTAAGTTGATTCCTTCCTTCCTTCCTTCCTTCCTTCCTTCCTTTCTTTCTTTC